GCGCTGGTGTGACATCCGCCGCCCACCCCGTGCCCTTCTGCGGGCCACAGCGGAAGAGGAGGTGGCCGGGTGCCAGGGCCTGGTGGTCACCAAGGGGGCGCGGGGTGACCTCAGTGAATTCCCGTCCACGTGCGTTAAGGCAACTTCACGAAACGTGGTCAGAGCTGGACGTGTGGCACGCCTGCCGGAAGCCCCAGGACCAGGGCCACCCCAAGAGGGTCCTCGACTGTCTGGCACCTGGCCCACCTGTCCTGACGGCCTCCGTTAGCCGGGGACACCCACACAAGTGTCCAAGACAAGAGACCCTCCACCTCCCCCAACCCCACACATGACTTTAAAGGCTGTAAGGAGAGCCTTGCAGGGAGCATGTTCCTCGCTCTCCACCCCGTTTCCGACACCCCCACCCTGGGGTCTGCCCCCACCCCTCATAAGATGGTGGACTCCAGTGACCGGGGCCCCCACTCCTGCACGCTGCAGGGGCCATGGTGTCCTGGCCTGGGCAGCCAGCCCTCTCAGGCCCCTTGGAGAGAGGAGAGGTGCAGGTCCTCGATCCCACCACACCACCTCCTTCCAGAAGCCCTCCTTGGTTGTCTCCGCTTAATGCTTAACACGAACCCAAGGGCAGCCGTTCCCGGGGACAGGAGCACAGGAAGGAAGCTGGCCTGGGACGCCCGGAGCAGGCACCCCACTCCCGCCGAACCCCACCCAGCCTCCTGCCCCGCACCCAACATCGGTCCACCTGGGCAGGGGCCCTGGAGGGCTGCTCGAGGGGGCAGAGAGGGTGGGTCTGTCCACGTCACCACCGTGCGGGGCGCCCCACCCCTCCACAGCGGGTCCCACTCCCGAAGGGCCCCTCTTCACACCACGCTCGCTCCCAGGGTTTGTGGCGCTGGAGAACGTGGAAGCCGCTTTGCCCTTTGCTCTGCAGCCCGAGACCCCGAGGCAGATGGCTGTGCCCGCCAATCGACACCTCACCCACAATTCGGGGTGACCGTGACATAAACACAAATGCCAGCGTTTCCCCAAAGACTTCCCAGGGCCCCCCACTCCTCTGGGCTTCGGGGAGCATCTAGAAAAGTCTCAGGGCTGAGTTCTGTCCACACACAGCGGGGGCGGGGCGCCTGATGTGCAGGTGGCCCCGAGTGTGGGTGGCTGGCGAAGAGCCAGTGTCCCCCACCCAAATCCACGGCCAAGGGCGGGGGTTGGGGGCTCCAGCCCAGAGAGGGAGACGGTGGGTTGACACGCTGCAGACGGGCGGTTATGCCCAGCCTGCGGCTGCTCTGGGCCCAGGTGAGGGCTGACCAGAGGGCCTGCTGGCCGGGCAGCCCCCACAGAGCAGCCTACACAGCCCGGAGCCCAGAGCCTGGGGCAGCTTTCAGCCCCCAAAGGTGGATGGCGCTGCTGAGCGGGCAGCTGTGGCCTCCTTTAGCGAGGGGTCAGGCGGGCAGGACCAGGAGGGGCCCCTGGCACCTGGCCCGTGACCCTCCACCCTCCAGGCGGCCCAGGTTGCAGCTGGGCCAGAAGATGCTGACCAGGCAGAGGACAACTCCCCTTGGCAGTGACGAGGCCGGACCACGTGGTTGGGCCAGAAGGAGCCGGCCAGAGCCCCAGCGTCACATTTGGACACCCCCCCAGACGCCAGGCCCTTCCTGGCCCGGCCCACGCTGGCTCTGGGCACAGGCCACCCAGATGCTCTGAACGGCTGCCCGTGCAGCGGTGGAGAAGGGACGCTCTGCCAGGGCCGCCAGGAGCCCAGGGCAGCCGGGCCCGTCCGCTATGCCGAAGTCGCAGCTCCTCGTGGCTCAAAGCAGGAGCCCGCGGGGTCAGACGAAGGGGCCGAAGCCGGAAATGTGAGTGTGCGCGTGGGCGGACCTGGGTGTGAGTGTGCGCGTGTGCTGTGTGTGTGCACGTGTGAGTGTGAGTGTCTGTATGTGGGTGGGCGTGTGTGCCCATGAGTGTGCGCATGAGCATGCACGTGTGAGTGTGTGTATGTGGGTGGGCGTGTGTATGTGCGTGCGTGTGCACTGTGGGTATGTGCACGTGTGTGCATGTGACTACGTGAGCATGTGTGTAGTGTATGCCTCTGGGTGTGCACACTTGTGTAATTGCACATCTGCACCTGTATGGGTGCGCACATGTGCATACATGTGTGTTTCTGTGTGTGCCATGTGTGTGCCTCTGGTGTACGTGCGCATGTGTGAGCACAGGTGTGTGTGCGTGAGTGTGAGCGTGGGGTGAGTGCTCCAGCTAACGCATACGCTTGTCTCAGGGACGTTTGCCCTCAGCCACACTCGGTCACACACACTCGAGACAGTGCACAAGCTTCCAGGGAACATCGGCCTCTGTCCTGTCCCAGTTCCCGGGGCTGGGCACCCCAGGGCAGTGGACGGGCACTGTGGGGACACAAGATGCCCAGGCCTGGGTCCGGGAGCTGAAAAAGGTGCCTGGACCCCATCATTCCTCCGACCCCCACCCCCGCCACAGAGCAGGGCCTCATCTCTTCCAAGGGGAGAGATGTCACCGAGGAGATGTCACGCCCTTCTTGCTGAGTGGGACATACCAGTGGTCTGGCCCCGACCCTCCTGCTGTGACCTCGGAGACACATCTTGGCCATGGCTCCCGGCACCTGCATCTGGCCGAGCTGCTCTGGGGGCGGGAGGCACACAGCATGGGGGTACGGGGACAGGACGCTAAGGGCCCGTCTTCTCAGCGCCCGGAGCCCACGGTGCTGAGACCCACAGGAGCGGCCAGGGGGCTGGTGTGGGATGCGGACTGCGCGTCTGGGGCAGCCTGCTCGGGCCCTGCCCGGGGCCTGGGGCTGGGCTCTCCCTCCCAGGATGGGTGAGGGAAGGAGGCGCGGACCCCAGCCCCGACCTCACCCAGAGGGAGCACAAGGGAGCGGCCACTTGCCCGGGTCACTGCACACTGGCCATTCCACACTGGCCAGGAAGATCTACACTAGAAGGGACTTTTCTCACCACTGCGGGGCCCTCGGCCAGAAAAATGGGACCCTCGAGAACAAGAGAGCACAGGGAGCAGACGTGGGGGGCACCTGGGCGCCTGGACCCCGGGCCACACACCGGTCTCCACGCCTGAGCCCTCCCGGGGGCTGGGGGGGAGCGCACCCTGAGCACGGACAGCGGTGGGTCCTTCCGGGCACCACCTTCCAGCAAGCGCGGGGGCCAGGCCACCCTCCAGCTGCTCACCAGCAGCCCAGGCAGAGGCGGGACCCCCAGTGTCCTGGCTAAGTCAGGGCAGGCACAGGGGGCAGACACGGCCCCCATGGACAGCAGACCTCGCTCCCGCAGACCTCCGGGAGCTGGGACCCCGACATCCAGGCCCACACAGTCCTTCCAAAGTCCTTCCTGGAGGCTGACGCTGCTCCTGCCAGCTGCCTCTGGTCACAGTCGGGACGGACTCAAGCCACGAGAGGCACAGGGGGGCAGTCGCTACACAGTGCCCACAGCTCACTGCCTCAGAGGCTGGCTCCTCCGTCACCCCGAATGCCAGGCCCCTGCCCCGCCTGCTGAGGGCGTCCTCGCCCGCGGCCCGGCTCACGGCTGCTGCCCTCAGGCCCAGGCACCAACAGCAAAAGCCTGGGGCCCTGCTCCCCAGGGCTTGGGGTGGGGACAGCGCCCCTGACTCTCAAGACACAAAAAGGCCGCCGCTGAAGGACCAGCGGGGTCCAGAGAGAGGCGGGGGCGGCAGCTCTGGTTGGGGCACCGCACAGGGCAGAGCTGCCTTGTCTCTGCTGGGGCCTCGGGGGGCTTCGCCCATGGTTGTGCACTGTCCTGCCCAGGTCCTGTCCGGGCAGCAGCAGGGGACAGATGAGGCCAGGCCCGGAGCACATGCTGTCCGCCACGGCTCATGGGTCTCCGTCAAAGTGCTGACCGCAGCCTGGGACCGGCGCCCGGCCAGGGCACAGTGCAGAGGACAGGGGGCTCCCAGCTCCCAGGTCTCCTGTGCCCCGGAGAGCCCCCATTCCAGGAGCCTGTGGAGCAGACTTTACCCACAAAAGCCAAGGCCGGCGTCCATGGGCACCATGCCCAGTGTGGTCCTGAGGCCCCGCCTCTCCTCTCCAGGCCACGGGCCTGCAGTGAGGGCCGGCTCCCATCCAGGACTCTCAGAGCCGGGGGTAGAAGGGACAGGTCTCTGACAGGTGCCCAGGGAGTGGGGGACACGTCCCAGCTGTGCACACGGCGGACCCTCACGGGGCCAGGCCTGCCCCTCACCGGGCACCCTGCTCCCCGCCCACGCCTCCGCCCTGCCGCCAGGAGCCTGTCCTCACCGTCACCCAGCCCTGCTCACGCCGGGAGGACAATCTTCAGAGTGGACACTGCCGAGGACGTCGTCAGCCTTCGCCGTGGAGACCAGGCAGCCCGCCTGCCTCCCGTGGGCCCCCGCCAGCGGCTCTAGAAAAGGCTCGAGGGTCCCGCCTTAGCCCCCGAGGCCGGCCGTCAGGGGAGGCGGCGGGCGCTCACTTCCGGGGCCCGGCCCAGCCCACGTCCCCGAAGGGGCCCTCGCCCGTGGCGGAGCGCGGCGGCGGCCCGCACGGGGTGCAGAGGTCCGAGTCCGTGTCCGACTCGCCCTCGGCGATGTAGGGCCGGACCTTGGCGCAGGGCGCTGCGGCCGCGTGGCAGCCGAGGGCGTCCAGGTTCTCGCGGGACTGAGAGATACTGAAGCCGCTGGACGAGCGCTCCAGCTCCTCATGGTCCACGGACGGGATGGAGATGGACGTGTCGCTGTCCCGCGGCACGGCCTCGTGGGGCCGGCACGCCGGCGCGTCCTCGTGCCTCAGGAACTCCGTGCTGGCCCGGTGGCCCCCGCCGTAGGCAGACAGCGACCGCTCGTGGGCGGGTGGCGGCGGGATGCGCACCAGCGGGCCGTGGTCCCCCACGGGCGAGGCGCCGTGGCCCGGGCGCCCGTGGCTCTGCTGCTGCCAGGAGGTGGAGGGCGGGCACTGGGCAGCGGGTGCGGCCGGGGGCGCCGAGAAGTTCTTGTGGCCCATGGAGCTGGTGGAGCGGATGAGCTTGACGATGCAGCTGCCCCGCTCACCCTGCTCACGGCTGTCCTCCGGGCTGTGGTACGGGGGCGCCGGCTCCGGCTCCTTGGCCCCGAAGTAGGCCTCGGCCTCCGCGGGCGGGATGCCCACGCGCTGCGTGTAGATGCTCACCAGGAAGTCCAGCTTCTTCTCCATGGACAGCACCTGCAAGATGGCTGCTGGGCCGGCTGCTCCCCCCACAGGTGGGGGGCTGGGCTGCTCCCCAGGGTCGGGGGCCGGCTGCTCCCTGAGGAGGGGGAACTGGGCTGCTCCCCGGAGTGGGGTCTGGGCTGCTCCCCGGGGTTGGAGGCTAAGTTACTCCCCAAAAGTGGGGGGCCGGGCTGCTCCCCACAAAAGTGGGGGGTCGGGCTGCTCCCCAAACAGGTGTGGGGCTGGGCTGCTCCCCAGGGTCGGAGGCCGGCTGCTCCCTGAGGAGGGGGAACTGGGCTGCTCCCCGGAGTGGGGTCTGGGCTGCTCCCCGGGGTTGGAGGCTAAGTTACTCCCCAGGGTTGGGGGGCTGGGCTGCTGTCCACAAAGGTGGGGAAGCAGCAGGAGGCCGACCCAGAAGCAGCTCATCCTCCAACCCCAACTGTCAGAGGTGGTGGGGGCACTGTGTGTGTCCTCAAGGCCTCGGAAGGCCAGACCAGGCTGCTCGCGTGGGCCGCCCTGCTGCCACCACAGAGCCACCCCTGGGAGCCACCTGCACAGAGGTCAGCACCGCCCTTCCCCCACTCGGCTCCCAGAAGCAGAGAGAGGGGGCCTGTGTGCGGCTCCTGAGCACTCGCTCCCTGGGGGGGCCGTGGGGACAAGGCCGGCCAGGTGTTTAGGGTTGTCGGGAGGGCGGTTGTGCTGGCTGCAGGAGGGACCCCTCAGCACCCCACCCACCTGCTTCTCCACCTTCCCCAGGCGGCCCATCATGCTGGGGTCCTCGGGCATCTCCGCTTCCGCAGGCCCTTTGGTGCGGTCCTTGTCCGTCATGGCTGGGCCTCGCCCCACGATCTGGTCCACTCTGCCGGGAAGAGAGCCCCCCAGCATGAGTTCGGGGGCGGTGGGGCAGCCCGCGGCCCTGTCCACCTGGGCCAGGCCACAGCCCCCCAGGGCCAACCGACCGGGGGGCAGCGGGTGCCAGGACAGATGGGCACCGGGTGCCCAGTTCTCGCCCTGCTCGCCGAACCTTGGGCCCGTCACTGCCCGCTCCATCCCAGCGGGCCGGCTCGCGAGCGAGCAGTAAAGTGGAGGCAGCTGGGCCATTCGCCCCTGGCTCCCTGCCCAGCTGGCGCCCTGCCCCGCCCGAGCTTTACTCCTTCAGAGCGCCACTGAGCCCTCGGCCCTACCAGCCAGCCGGGCCTGGTGGGGACAGAGGGAAGTGTCCGCTGCAGCAACAGAAGCAGGAGGCACGTGCGGCTCCATGCGCCAGGACAGGGAGCGGGGGACACAGCGGCACGGAAGCTGCCCACGCACAACCAGAACGGGGCGGGCAGAGCCGCTGCCATCCGGAGGGCCCGTGTGCACTTGCACATGCGCATGTGTGTCCACGTGCTTGCCGTGTGTGTGTGCGTGCTTACCTGTGCGCACATGCATACGGTGTGCCCGTGTGCTGGTCGTGTCCGTTTACCGTGCGCACGTGCATGTGCACGCTGCACGTGTTTCTGCTATGCGTGTGCACACGTGCTTGCTGTGCGTGTGTGCATGTGTGCTTGCACTGTGCACGTACACGTGTGTTAGCTTGTGTGCGTGCATACACATGTGCACATGTGCTTACTATGTGCATGTGCGCGTGCGTGTGCTTTCACTATGCATGTGTTGCTGCGTGCACACGTGTGTGTGTGCGTTTTCTGTGTGTTCATGCATGTGCGGGATGCAGAACACAGCTGAGCTGACCTCCATGGAGGCCATAGGTCACGAATGCCAAGAAGAGGGGACAGAGGCTTCCTTCTGTTTGACCAGTGGTGTCCCCTGACCCCCATGCTAAAGAGGAAGGGTCCCCGAAGGGCTCAGAAGAGGCCGTAGGTGTGCGAACGCTCACTCAGAAGCAAAGGTCACAGCCATCTGCAAGCCGCAGGCCAGCCGCTGCCCATCTGCCAGGGCGTGGCGAGGGGGTCCATGACCCAGGCTGAGGCTTCGCAGCCCCCGCCTCGTTTCTGGCCTGGACCCCCCAGCACAAGCTCACTTCTCAAGTTTGGGGTGCAAGGGGGTGCTGCTCCCACAGCCCGGCAGGGGCTGCGTGAGCTGGCAGGAGCCACATCTCCGTCTCCTTCCTGATCCCTGGGCGCCCTGACCGCCTCCGATGGGGGTTTCGGGTGACTTTTTCTTTCTGTTGCAGGAAGCAGAATTGGGGTTCAGGCTTGCGTCAGCCACGGTGCAGCCCCCTCATGCTCCAATGGGCTTCATGCTGGACTCATGCACAGATGGCCAGGAGGAGGTGGCGTGAGGGGACCTTCGGGCTCCAAGCAGACACCAGTGGAAAATGGAGAGGAGGAGGGGTTCTCTGGTGTTTCCACGTGTCCACACAGTCCAGGCACGGGTGCTCAGCACCTTCACCCCTGCCACATGACGGGCCTCCTGCCCAGCCTGCGCCACCCCCTCTCCTAGGCCAGAGGGGTCAGGCTGGATCCCCAAGTGTCCAGACTGCCCTGGCCCCTTCTCTGAGTGAGTGTGTCCTCTTTCGAGGGGGCTTAGAAAATACAGCCTCGGTCTGCCCCGGGCAGACCTACTCCCCCGGGAACTCCTGTCTCGGGACAGCCGCCAGGTTGAGATGCCCGGCGCACAGAGCCGTGGCCCTGGACCGCCCTGGGCCTGTCTGCTCCCCAGCTGTCCACAGCGCTCCTCACTCTCGGCCGACTGGAGGAGGGGACGGGCGGCCGCATCATGCGGAGGGTCCCTGGGATGCTGGAAGGCTCTGCAGCCTGCAGCTGTCACCAAAGGGCCTGCGTGTGCCAGCTCGCCCCGGATGCCCTCGCCATCCACACTGCCGTTGGCGGGACACTCACCCCACCTACAGCAGCCACGGCGCTGATGGCTGGGGACAGACGCCAAGGCCCTCGGCGCCCCGTGCGCCCAACTGCCCTACTTACTCTCAAGAGCCGGAGGCCGGAGAAGAGACAGGACGCGCTCAGACCCTTCAGCGGCCCAGGTCAATCCAATGGTGGCCAGGCGTTGGAGTCTGAGTGGGGGCCGAGGAGAGCCACAGAGGGCTCTGGGCCCACGGGCGGGGTGGCAAGGACACCGAGGTCCCCAGAGCCCACAGGCGCTCCCTGCTCATCTGGACGCTCCTGACCCTTCCGTTGCTGGCCCTCTGCTCTGCCCCACCCTGGGTGACACCACCCGCGTGACCACGGAAGGTTCCCCAGGACCCTGAGAGGCCCTGACACAGAGGAGCGACCTTCTCCGGCGTGGCTTTGTCAGGGCAGACGGACGACCCCTCCACCCGTGGGGAAAGCAGGGCGAGTGCTGCCGTCATGTGGCCTGGAGCGAAGGGGGCTGGCCATTCCACAAGGACAGGCAGGAAGGGCGGCATCCTGACCTAGGTAAGTACTGGGGTGACTCTCTCGGAGGGGCCGTGGGTCCTTTGGTGGGGTACTTCTTGTGCCGGGGAGTTGAAGGGGGTGGGGGACCCACAATCATATCTATCCTGGCAAATAAACAGAAAGAAGACACCAGCAAAATGCACCGTGAAGCCACACGAGGGGACAGCTGGGGACCGGCAGAGACGGGAGGAGCACCCCGGTTTAAAGCAACAAGGGGACACGTCTTCCGGCGGCGTCCTGCTCCCAACTACGCCGTGGACGCACCACGCGCTCCCCGTGTTCAAGCGAGCACGGGCCGCGGGCG